GCAGCAACAACATGGGATTAGCAAAAGCTAAGAGTAAAGGGCAAAATTCTAGCATCAGTGGTGGGAACAACCTGTACTGATTACACTTCACAGTTTTTCCGTTTCCGTATGTATTTTCCTATTTCTGAGTTACAATTTAACTTGTATCCTTTCCTGTCATGATCATCAATTTTGTATCTAAATCATTTTTAAATAAATGTATTTGTCCATGAGAGGATACCAAAAGGTTTGACTGAAGGCCAAAATACTGGCCTTCAGTCAAAAGTACAAAAGACTTTTCAGCACAAGCAATTGTTTCTTCTACAATGACCATTTGTTCAGCGGGTTCTCCTTTATGAAAACTATCATCACCACTGAGAGAAGAGTTTACCTGAGAATCAAAAGGAGTCAATAGAGGATTTTCAATATGGTTGACATTCTTTCAAAGCTTCAGTAATTCAATTACCTCCTGGTGCTACTTGATCATTCAGCTATCTTCAATGCTATAGATCAGGGGTACGGGCAGNGTGAGCTTAAATGGACTCCAGAGTATGGTAGAGACAGGAAGGTCTGGAGGAACATTGTCCATGGGGTCACAATGAGTTGGACACGACTTCGCAACTAACAACAACAACAACAATCACTTAAAATTGATATGTTCAATTAAAAGAAGCAGAAATTTGGTAAACTTATATAAAAATCTTAGCCTATAAATTTTTGGAGAACAGGATGAATTTCAATTATGCATTTTGAGCATTGGCAATTTCAGGATAATTAGAGCTTGCTGCTTTTAACAACTTTTTGTTATCATGTGCTGCTTTATGGAAACCTGAGATTACAGTATGAAATCAAATCTTGTCAGCAATAAATATGCTACCAATAACATTTCATTTTACAGGCTTACTGCAAAATCCTGTAATAAATATTAACCTTCCACGAAGCACGTTAATTTAATCAGATTTATGAAGTATCATCATATATCATCCATATATGCTTCCAGTTTCACTCAGAGAACTTGCTTGTACCCATAGAATAAGTTTATTTAACTGTTCCCAAGTTAACCATTTATTTGAGTGGCAAATTAACAGAGTTGAACTATTACTCTATATCAGCTATAATATCAGCTAGAATTCTTATATTTTCTTATATTCTTATATTTTCTTAAACTAAATATTTCTAAAGAAAAGAGTAGAGAAACAAGTTCCAGGAAATATCATTTTGAGAGACTAAGAAGTAACAAGAAAGTTCAATTCAACAGGGTATAATAGATATAATTTCTATTCAAACTTCACTCTCAAAGTCAAATTATGTGACTTGTGTCCATTTTTATTTTATCTTTTATTTAATTTCTATCATTTTTATAGAAGTTATATAATTATGTACATTCATAAATGGTAAAAGTAATTATTTGAAAGTAGTGAAAGTGAAGTTTTACTCTATAAATTCAATTTTTATTCTTGATCCACATTCCACAGATATATTATTGGGTTTTATGACATGTTATGTATTGTACCTAGTCAGGTCTGCTACTACGTAGTGTCAAAAACAAAACACTTTAGAGTTCCTTTCTCTTTATAATTAGCATCCACAGTCACTTCATTTATAAAGCCATGTAATTAATATTAACTTTGTACACCTACTAAAACTAAGTAAATTACATGGATATATATGCACAGACTTGCTATTCTCTCAACCTTTTTTTTTACTTTAGAGAATACTTGAAATCCAACTCCAATTGCTTTGACAATGCATACAAAGGTTCCAACAAAGACTTGCAAGATGTTTATGCATTCAGCTATCAAGTTATCTCCACAAAAATAAAAAGTGCAGAAATGCAGTTGCTATTATTGATTTTTATAACCACACAGGCATTAGGGATAAACAAAAGGGGTAATAAATTATGTTTGCGAGAACAGGATTATTCCAAAAACCAGACAATGCAACTAGTACCAATTATTTAAAAAGAATACCTTTATCATATGATAACATCAAGGCACTGTCTTGCTGCATTGTTTCATTTGACTCTTCTATGCTGTCTATCTTACACTGGTAGGGTTTTTTTATATATATATACTAAAATCTTCAATATTTGCTTTCTTTTTAATTATACTAATTAGGCTAAATCAAGTAATGCACAGGAATATGATTATAATGTAATAGAAGGAAAACTCAAAGTTATAAAATATACATGGCTAGATGCGCAAATAAAATTTAATTCATAACAGGTAACATCATTAACAAAACAATGCCACAAAGTATAGATATAAACTTATTTATGTCTATGAGCAGGTACTCCTGCAATCAACTGGGCTTACTTCCAAGTCAATGTGCTAAGAATTAGGGCATGACTAATAATGCTGTCAGAAAGCAACCTTTCAGCTGCCATCTGATGCCCTCTAACAATTCTGGGCACCGCTACATTATCAGCAATAAATATGTAGATTTAAGGTTGTAAGGAAGAAGTATATTTAAGAGAAAATATTTCATCTGAAATACAGGTTATCCAAGGGCATCTACTGATTTAAATTTTACTTGGGCAATTTGTTAGCACTTACATAAAAATGTTTTGCAGCACTCTGAACAACACTGAGGCTACGTCTGCAGATTTCACGGAGGGATGGTTTTTATTTGCCTCAGATATTATATAAACTTATTTTCTTTCTTCAGTGCTTGTTTTATGAATGAAGACACAATCATAATCTAGGAATTCTGAGTTAGACTGGTACAGGTTGCCCAATCATTTCCAGCTGGGCTCTTTCCCCAGCAGGGGCAACCAAACAAACCTTGCAAGGTCCTTCAATGGTGTCTCGTGACCTGCAACATGGATTTCCATCTTGTTGCTTTTAAATAAGTTAAAAATCAATACCCAGTCAAGAAACCTCAATGTTCAGCTGCAGTTCAATTGCAAAGGACAAGACAAAATGTCTATACAGATAATCCACAACTTATGGCCACAATTGAGCCCAAAATTTATGTTGCTTAGTGAGACATTTGTTGAGTTTTGCCCCATTTTACGACCTTTCTTGCCATAGTTGTTAAGTGAATCACTGCAGTTGTTAAATTAGTAACATACAAGATTAGGTGAATCTTGTTTCCCCGTTGACTTTGCTTGTCAGAAGTTGGCAAAAGGTTATCACATGACCCTGAGACACTGCAACTGTCATAAATTTTAGTTGTCAAGCATCCAAATGTAAATCATGTGACCATGGGGATGCTGCAATGGTCATAAGTGTAAAAAAATGGTCATAAGTCACCTTTTCAGTGCCATTATAAACTTCAAACACTGTAACACTAGCAATAGCACTTAGACTTATATACTGCTTCATAGTGCTTTTACAGCCCTCTCTAAGCTGTTTACAGAGTCAGCCTATTGCCCCCAACAATTTGAGTCTTCATTTTACCCACTTCGGAAGGATGGAAGAATGAGTCAACCTCGAGCCATTGGGAATCGAACTGCCAAACTGCACCTAGCAGTCAGCTGAAGTATCCTGCAGTACTGCACTCTAACCACTGTGCCACCTTGGCACTAAGCAAACTGCTGTAAGATTACCTGTACCTAGATTACAAAGCAACAGAAAGTTATGCTTTCGGGTGGCTGCCTTAGACACTATACTGTTGGGAGGGGGGTCAAATGAAGAGTGTGCTCATCATGGCTAACCAGGAATTCTAGATGTGCAATGTTTCATCTCACTCACAAGAAAGATGAGCAAGCTAGGTCACCTGACTAAAATGCCACTGGTTCTTTGGATGAATCATATATATTACCAAACATTCTGGCTAAATAAGGAACTTTTATGAATATTTCACCAATTCTAAAAAATTATTTATCTAATCCCTTCTCTTAAAGGTTACCTACACAGGGGAATTACATACTGTTAGGCACTCAGATTATATCTTTGCCAAAGCTGAATTTTTGAACCTTTTTAAAGCTAAACATAGAGCAAGCTGTACATCCTACATGTAAGGACTATCACACTTGACAGAGGTATAAGGTCAGCATTCACTTGCTGTATTAGTCAACCAGAGACCCAGAGGAAACTCACAGGCAGCAATTGTAACACACTGATAAAATGTCTCTTGTATTGGAGGCACTAAAAGCATTTGTAGCCTTTTCTCTATATCCAGTAGAAAACCTAGATTTCTGTAGGATGTCCAGGAGTGAAAATAAGCAGGTGTGAAATAAACAAACAAACAAATCCTTTCCTTTTTCACTAGAAAAATTAAATGACATTGTTTTGAAGTGCATAATTTAGAGGAAGGCAGGAAGGACAGAAAGAGCAGGAAAGCTAACAAGATAAAGACTAGCAACTTATTTGGAGGCAGTCCTATAGGTATAGTTTTTAATGGACAGTCAAAAAGCGATATTTTCCATCAGGAATTCCATGTTTTCTCAGTACAGGTTGACCTAGACTTACAACAGTTCATTTAGTGACCACTCAAAGTTTCAATGACACCGAAATATTGACTTAGGACAGTTTTTCACACTTAACAACAGTTGCAGCATTCCCGTGGTCACATGATCAAAATCCAGCTGCATGGCAATTGACTCATATTTATGACGGTTGCAATGTGCTGGGGTCACATGATCACCTTTTGTGACCTTCTGACAAGCAAAGCCAGTGGGGAAGCCAGATTTGTTTAACAACTGTGTTACTAACAACTGCAGTGATTCACTTAACTATGGCAAGAAAAGTTGTAAAATGGGGCAAAATTCACTTCACAAATGTTTCACTTAGCAGCAGAAATGTTGGATTCAATCGGGGCCGTAAGTCGAAGACCAGCAAGTCGAAGACCAGCTGTATTACTTCCATCTTTTTTCTCATTCCCTTTCCCCACCCACCCACACAAAAAAAAAGAGTATTGGGGAAACAACTATTCTTTAAGTCAGCAACTTTAATAAGATGTGGGCCCTTTCACTCCCAGAATTTCCCAGCCAACCTTATCCACACATCTTAAACCCACTGAGAAACCAAGTATCTGTTTCATTCCCACAATGCAAAGAAACACCGTAAAGCACCTGCCTGTAATAGCTTCGAAGAACGAGGGCTTCCTGACGGGCTGCTGCTGCCCTCCGGTCCCTTGGCTTTGCCCTTGGCGGGCGCGTCTTCAAGCAACTGCTCCAGGCAGGTGGTGTTGCCGGGCAGAGAAGAGCTCTTCTGATGGGACAGGTGAGCTCCGAGTCGGGGCGGCTGCGGAGGCTTCTCCCGCGCCTCGGCTTTGAGGGCTCCATCTCCGCCTACTACCCGTTCCTTTTCGGGGGCAGCCGCCGAAGAGGTCGAGGAAGGAGAGGCGGGCGGGTCGTCAGCCCCCCAGCCGTGCTGCTGTTGCTGCTGTCCCCCTTTGCCCTAAGGGTGGTGAAGGAGATGCTCGCGTAGGCGGCGCAGAGCAGAGCCGGCCTCGGCGCTCACGCCCTCCAGGGGCTCTGCCGAGGAGCAGCACAAGTTGGGCTGAGAGTACGAGAAGACGCGGTCCAGCACGTGTTTTCGACGCCTCAAGCCGCCCCACCT